AAACCCGTCCACGCGATACGCGCCACACAGCATGGCCAGAATGCGGCAAAGGCCTTCAGATCTGGCTGTAGTAGGATGGTGAAAGTAATGGTACAGCATTTTAACAGTGAATAAGTACTGAGAAATAATTTTTAAACTCATAGTTGCTGTCGACATAGGAAGTAAAGTAAGCAAATAACACCGAATAAACGGCAAGGTAAAGACTATGTCTAATTATAGTAAATACGTACTGCGTGCGTGACTCGAACCGGCGCTCGCGTACGGCACCTAATCGCCTAGCTTCACGCCACTACACGTCTTCCCCTCGGCCACCGGGCATCCCCAAAAAAGGATGCTTAATAACCGAGCTTATTACGTGCAGAGAATGGAATACCCGGTACAGTGTTCTGACCAGGAATAATATTAGGTGGGTCCATGAGAATCCATAGGAATACACGACTCTAAAAGTGTTTGCATTACTAAATGAATTTCAGAATTATATATATTTAGACTAATGGTTACCACTACGTAAGTAGCAATCACGCAGAGCTCCTTAGCAAGGGCTAACAGGTCAAATACCTTAGCCCGTGCTAAGAAAACGAGTGTGAACCCTAAGCACTGAATAAGAAACACTAAGTACAGCTTAAATCTGGGCCGTTTTTAAGACCTGGTTCGGTTTCTTAGCTTGGGCTTATGAAGTGTCCCGTAAACGTTTAGCTCATGCTAAGTGCCCAAAACACCATTATATTTAATGTCATTTGAAAGTATTACTATTATATTCATAATTATTCATATTGGCATGCCATTTTCAACACGACAATCAACGCGAGCATATCTAAGGACATTGTTATTAAGAAAAATAAACTGATGATGAGACTGTGCTAGTTCCTGTTATTCTACAATCTACAATGTATACCTTCCTAGTTACTGTACTTAGTAATCCTAGTTAAAATGACTGATGATTTTTGTATATTCTTAACAAGTTTGAGAGTTCCTTAGCCAATGCTAACAACTGTTTCCTCCCATGCGTGAATGCAGTTGGGTCTATCTGATATGCAAACATATGAGATTAGCTTAAATTTTAGCCTGTACTTCGTGCAGCGTGAACACTACTTTAGTTTGCGCTACTGTTATGAAATCTAGTTACCAAATCTGTCAAGGAAAGCTCATTTCTTCATTAATACAGAAACCATTGATATGGCGGGTGCTACATAAAGCAGTACGTTCACACTTTTTTCGAAAAACCAGAGATCAATTCATGTACAACAAGGGGTCCATATTTCTTTTACTGATTTTACTATGTACCAGGATTCTCCACATGGTGTTTTAACAGGGCGTCGCGCCCTGTTATCTGAAATTGGCGCCCTGTTTAAATTGTCAGTGCCCTGTTATATTTCCTGTTCGCACTGGTCCCAGACAATGAATTGTTTACAAAACAGGCCATCACTCATTGTCTTCCAAAGATGATTCATCGTGCTCAGGGTAACTGGATCATTGTTTTAAGGTGTGAAAACTTTGAAAATTTCGGCTTATTATCGTAGCAGGTCACCGTGAGGTGATAACACCACTGAACAAAAATTTGCAAGTTTTTTCAACACGATTAAAAATGAACATGTGGCCTAGGAAAGTATATTACTGTACCCATATTTTTACTGCCAGGGTCAAATATATAAAATAGTTATCAGTAAAACCATTCGTTAAAACATAAGATCTAAGGTTAAAACCAAGTTCATGCCGTGACTGTTTAATTTTCAAACCATGGAGAACCCTGCTATGTACTGTAGTGTGGTGGGTTTGTCAGTTGTTTTGTGCTTGTAAATCATTATCTCAATTGTTGTCAGTTGTCGGTTTTGTGTTCTTGGACTTGTAAATTTCATTATACAACTTTTGTTCACTGGTCTACATGTATGGTCAGGTATCAGGTATACTATTTCTATTTTACTTTAATTATGCATGGATTTTTTGTTCTAGATATTAAATTACTGTAAAAAAAACACAATTTATGAAATATAATAAACAACCATTTTGCAATGTGTATTCCTTGTTATGTTTCTTAAAGGGGCACCTTCCAGTTAAGATTAATTTCACAACAAATTTACTTTCTGGATTAAAATAACAATGGATAACAAAAGATAGATTAACATTGTAAACAACATAAACAATAGTGTCCCATGATTCTTTGGTGCAATCCATGGGATTGAGCGGTTCCCCTTTAAAGCGAGGGAGTCGTCACCTGCGCATGCGCCAGATGTCTATAGCATGTCATTGTTTACAAACAAACATGAGCCTTTGCGTTTTTAGCGCGTGTTGTTATCATCGCTTGGGACTCGATTCTTGCGTGTGCGCAGGTGACGACCCTCCCGCTTTAAAGCATATAGAATTCTGTTTGATATAAAGCGAGTGATAAGAATAGTTCGGATGTGAGATGTATACTATAACAGAATGGAAACCTATATCTTGTGGTATTCTTCACTATGGAGACACGCATGTTACATGTATGAATGTGACAAAGATCAGCATAGCACAAATTATTATTATTATAAAAGTTTGAATTAATAGTTATTGTGACTCAGAAAATGATCAAAGCAAATACATTATTTGTGTTCAATCTCAAAACTATATACATGTCAAGTACCGGTATAATTTAGCTCATGGTTCTGCGCATAGTGAACATTTCTTACATTACATTGCTATTTTATAGCTTCAAGTATTGTGAATATGCAAAAAGCCCATGTATTTGAGTGACCTGACAGATGGATTGAGACAGCCATCTTGAGTAGACTTTACAAATCAATGTGGTGTACATCGACCTCTAGTAATGTCGACCAAGTTTGAAGAAAGTCAAATAACATGTGCCTTAAGACTGCTTGTGGACATTTCAAAATATCTGGGGGTTTTTAACAGCTAAAATTGTCAGCCATCTCGGAAAACAAAATTATTGCATGTGCATATATGCATGTCTGCCTTGATGTACTCCATGTATAAAGTGAATTACTCAAAAAATGTATGAAATATATGTTGAAAATGCAGAAGAACTACATGTATCAGTATACTTAGCCTGTTTAACATTAAGTGTGCCTGCATAATATTTTTGTTTGTTGAATAAACAAGAATAAAATTTGGTTCACTTATACAGTCAAAACACCATTATTAAGGTCGACCTGAAGCACCCCTCTTTCCTTTGGAATGCAAATTTGCCTTGCCCAACATGGTATACCTCAAAGTGTTATTTCTGCCTTTTTCAGTATTTACGTAGAAAATCTCAACAACGAAGAATGGAGTCTTAAATCATCCTGTACATCTCCCAGTTCTAACTAATTTAAATCGTGGATGATGGGAAGGCTGGGCACAAACGATATAATTGGCTCAATTTAATTTTTTGGTATGTCTTTTGGTAATCTGGTTAGGTTTTTCTCTCAGTTGTTCGTATTTTGATAAATCACGGTAATATGTTCTGTTCTGTTTGCAATGCTTAAGTTAGTGTACGCTAAGCTTTGTGATTGTCAGTGTGAACAGTTTATTTACCCACAACCAGCCCTGGAACAATAGAATATGAAGCATTTCCAGACCTGGGATAGAGGGACTGTGGCCATAGATTATTTATTATTACGGTAATCAAGTAGTTTTGTTGGTTGATCTCAGATCACAATAAACAAGTCATTTATTATGGAAATTCAAACAAGTTTCAGCATATTAAACTTCTGACCTCTCTGATATTTGTGGAAATTCAATGTATTTTATGTGGATACATTATGTGTCAATAATATGTCTACGATCATAATGTAGCAAACTTTTACAAGGCTTCAAACACATAAAAATATAAATAAGACATTTAAGGATCTGTAGGAACCCTGTTAACATGTCTTTTTTTGTGGGTTCCATGTTTTAACCAAAGACAATAGTTCTCTTTGGTTATACACTCTGTCTATTGTTTCAGTGAAAAGCCAGCATGGGTACCACACGTGTCACTCAATAAAAGTTACAGTACTTTACTGCACTTACTGATTCAGTATTGTTCCAGGTCATGGGACATAGAACAGAACAATGATACAAGCAGTGTATTAACAGCTAGACTCTGGTCGTGTTACTTGTAGAGATTTTCAATAGCGGACTCCAAATATCAGATACATGTATTATATTCTTACCCATCGTCTTGTACTTAACTCCCCGGGGTTCGGGTCCATGGCTGCTCTTTCAAGAACTGAGGCCCGAGTTTTCGATTCTTGAAAGGAAGATAAACTTGTTTTTTCGCCTCGTTTCGTGTGTATCGTCCTTGAACCACACACATTGTGGTTTTGTCGAGTTGCGATTCCAGTGTTCTTGGCAACGCTGGAAGCAGGTGTTGGTCGCTGTGAGATTGCCAACATCTGCCGGGGCCAAGGCCATGTCCTACTTAATCTGAGAGCTAATTTCTTTCGGCCTGGGGCATACGTAGAAGAACACAATTGTTGCGGAACAAAGCCAGCATAATGTCCTGTTGCACCATCGCATAACCAAAAAGTCCGTACCTTTCTTTTAACATTGTTGAACAATGTGAACCGCAAACTCATTTTTTGAAAGGATACAGCCATGTTGTTTTTTTAATCGAAATTGATTGGACTATGATCAGCGCATGCGCATTGAATGGGGGTCGCCAATAAACTAGGTCACGAAGTGGATAATTGGAGGGATATTCCTACCAGACGTTAAAAAATAAACTTCATTTTTTCCCCCAACTTTACTAACAAAAGTATTTTAGCTACGTTTAGCTTTGTTTGATAGAAATCACTTGGTATGTAATGACTATCTACCTAAAGAAATACGTTATGAAATACAAGTTTTTCTGGTTGGTATTCAAAAAATAGTTGTATATTTTTTTTAGATTACGCCTAACCCAATTTCAGATTCTAATTGAACCTCTATTGACAGAATCAACATGGTAGCACATTGTACGGGAGACAAAACCAGGCTGTGTGCAACACCATTTTAAATGAATTATGTACGTGACCTGAAGCTTTCAATCCTAGTGGATTCAGGGGTCGCCAACTAAAAATTAGATTGTGTTGGATTTTTCGAAACTGCACATTTCGGCCTTATTACACATGCACAATTATATTAAGCAAGTATTACCAAGTCTGTCACACTACAGAAAATTGCATTAACAGAAATAATGCATTAGTAATTGTGTGTGCACTTTTGATTCAGGAAAATAAAATACTTTTCTGGCAGAAACGCTCTACAAGCATCCAGTGAAAATAAAAAGAAAAGACACAATAAGCAGAGATAGCATTTTAAAGAATTTATTGATATATACATCTGCACTACGTACAAAGAGGACAAATGTACCAATCACTGTTGATGTGTGGATGTTGGCATGATCAAAGTGGACCAGAAAGACCACTATAATCAGTAACAAAAGCCTCTCTTAAAGAGAAAATACAGACATACATAGGAAAGGAAAGACCTTTGAGGTCCCTATACACTACAGTTCACTTATCACAAGTGCATGGTTTGACCAACAAATACAATAATATTAATAATAATAATAATATAATATTGACAATAAATAAGAAAACCAGACAAAAAAGGTTTTTTAAAAAAAATGTGAATTCAAGGAGTGTCTATCAAACTATATAAAACACATGCTTTTTAACTTTCATAAAATCACATATATATACAAAGGAACAAAGTATTTAAAATGACAAAAAGAAATCTCAGTTGGAACTTAGACGTTTAAATAACTACTAAGCAATAATGGAAACTCAACATCTTGAAGATGAAGGTCAATTAGTGCAGGAAGTAAACACAAATATTTCTAAATTCAATAATAAATAACATATAATCTTTCAATAAAAATGTCTTTTGACACAAAATATAGAGATTCAAGTTAGAGTGGAGTAGCTACATTTGTAATGATATGCATGCCACTAACTGTCAAAAAATTGTTTAAATAATTATTATTATATGCTTATAGCAGGTACTGAATGGATGTCAAATGATTGAATTTTTACTTAAGTTTTGTTTGAAAATGTCCTCTTGGGACAGACAAAAAAAGCTATCCTGAGGATTTTTTTATTTTTTGAAGGGGACATACAGAATAATGACAAACTTGATGTTGGTGCTGCTGATGTCTTAGACACCTGGTGGCGGTTCACAAGCGGCCATAATGACAGTTTGAAAAAATACTCTGTTTAAATTTATATAGTTTTGTTACAGATCGTGACCACAAAAAAAAGGCAGATGTGCCTTGGTAACAAACAAGTTAATAAAGATATAAACAATTGTGGTATCCCCCCCTTAAGTTAGAAAAAGTAGTACTTTAGGTATTTTATTCCAAATAGCGAGACGATTAGTAATAAAATATTCCCATCGCACAGAGAAATATGGCACATTTCTAGTTATTAAATTACTAATATATTTGACTGATCTACCACTTCATAAATAAACTTTATCCAATGTAACGTGAAACAGTAGTGGCAGGGTTTAAGAGAAAGAACCATGATTACAATCACAGTGGCAGTATTAATAAATATAAATGAATGAAGCTTAAAAAAACACAAGGCAGTGAGAAACTGTTACTATTAACATGCTTGCTCCCTCAAAACAATTACTTAAATACGCTCACTAACAAGCAAGCACGATTCAGGCACTCTTCTTATTGACAAAAAAAAAAAAAGCATCACCAAAAAAACTTTATTTAAAAAAAACAAGAACAAGAAACTCAACCAGCAGGCACAATTGCTAGTAGTCCTACTGAAAAGCCCCACCGATATAGTATCTCAGATTTTCTACATGGTTGCTAATACCAATTATTGCAAACATCCGTAATTATCCACACCACACTAGAGAAATAGATGCGATTAGTTTCAACACTTGAAACAATGAGCAAAGTGAGGCAGTCGAACAATGCGATAACGCCAATGTTAGATTAAAGATACAGAATAGGATGAATAAAGTGGCACAAAAGTGGACACAATAGTGAAATGAAGAGAAATTTATCATGTGATCAGAGATTGTAATAAGCGTGAAGTATTTTACTAAATCACAAATTGTTTTTGTTTCTATTTTTTTTTTTGGTTATTTTTTTTTTTTGAATGACACATTGAGGTACAAGGTGTAAAGAACAAGACACAAGAGACTGAATAAAGTAAACAGGTAAATGATTGAACTGTCTAATTACGATTCTGAGTCTATAGAGCCAGACATGAACGCAAATCTTAAGATTTGGGAAAACTTCATTATTTTTTTTAGATTATCACACACACATATTACAATACCATGAACACATTGTATCCATCAAGAACTTTGCGGCAAGAACGGACAAATGTCTGTTTCACAAGGCAAGACAACTGTGTCCCGTGTACATTTGATGTCACAGGAATTATTAGTAGTACTATAAATTAGCTTGGCAAGTTGTTAAAACTGTACCTCTGAGTAAAATGTACACATAAAAATGCATACAGCTATGCTGTAAAATTTACAATGCTACTACGCATATGTTAGAATATAGTGTTATTATTTTGAGAAAAGTTATTTTTAGGACTGACAAAAGCTGAAAAATGCGGAGACGGATACACAATGGTGATTTATTGCACAGGAGATAACACTTGCTTGCAAGAAGCTGTCAAACAGCTTTTTTTTCTTTTCTTTTTTTGGAATACTACTTATCGACCTAATAAATATTAACTGGCTCTGTCAACAAAATTTAGACAGCTTTCACGTAAGATTTAAAAAAAACACACACAAAAGGCAATACACATCTGGACACACTTCTGAATTGATAATATATTGCACATGAACAGTACCATATTCAAGGTAACTGTATTGTTGAAAGTAGGGACTCCACTAAGTGGAAACCTCAAATTTGAGAGAAAATTTGGCAAGGAAACATTGTTAGGAACAATATTTTGAAGAAGGAAATACAAGTGAAATTGAACTACATCAATTAATAAATTTTTAGTATAATGCAGCACTCTATGATGGCACTTTTGAAGTGCTACTTGTCAAAATAGTTTGATTTAAAAAAATCATGGCTACCTTTTAGGTTAACCGGTATTAAATAAAGGATGTCGAATTTTTATTTCAGAACTCTGAGAGTTTAAAATATGATAGATAGATATATAAATATAGTTTAATAATTAATAATAAAGAACTCTGGAATGAGATTGAATGATAAAAGATTATTTTGACAATTGAATTTTGGAAACATCACGCTCAGAAACGTGTAACATTCTTTTAAAAAACATTATTTAGATCAATGTGGATTTGTTGTGACCGGAATAAGTTTTTCCCAACAGAATTTCCTCATTACTTAAACAAATCAGCTTTAGGTATTTATTTATTTTTTATTGTTCTAGTCATTTCCTTATGTGATGTTAGCTGTTGTGTTGGTACTGTTTGCATTAGGTTTGGGCCCACCTCCCCAGTGCCATTTTTTCATGTGTTTCTCAAGGGTGCTATAAACAGAGAATGGCATACTACACACCTCGCATCTGAACACCTCTTTAGCACCTTTGCCATGAGTCTTCATATGGCGAGTAAGCTTGCTACTCTGTGCACATGCATAGCTGCATAATTCACACTTGTATGGCTTTTCGCCTGTGTGACTACGTCTATGCACTGTTAAGTTGCTACAGTTCTTAAAGATTTTACCACAAAACTCACAGGTGTCACTTTTTTTATCCCCCCCTCCTTTTGGAGACTTCGACCTGCTTGACGTGTCAGACTTTACTGGGCTATCTATCTCAGACTCCAGCTTAGTGCTGGAAAAAACAACTGAACCACCATTGGCAGTAGAACTTTCTGATGTTGCTGGGGAATTCGCGAATAGATCTTTTGTTGATCCAGTTGATGCTTCTGGCATCCAGTGTGAATATAAGCCATCTAATCCTGACGGAGGCCTTGGAGGCGGTAGAGGAGAAGAAGGCTCCAACTTAATTCTCTTCTTTATTGGCTCTTCAATGTTGCCATTTGTATTCTCAGATGAGTATAACTGATTAATGTTAGCTTTTATCCCACTAGACTCGGATTCACATCTTTCAGGAGTTGCATCATCAACTCTGGACATATCAGTCTCGGTTTCAGTGTCCTCATTTTCAGAGTCAGCTTTAGACATAGAATCATCTTTATCACCATCTTTAGATCTCGAGCTTTCAGCAATAGCTTGTTGATAAGCTTCATTATATGCCTGAATTTCATTTAAACCACTGTTCTGCATCACTTCACTTAGAAGGCTGTGATTACCAACATGGTTCCCAGTGCTGTCGCCATTGCTTCTTTCACTACTATCATCGTTGCAAGAATCTCTACGACTTGATCCTGCTCCTGAAAGATCTATTGCTCCCGAGTTATCGGTCAGTTCTTCTAGTTCCTCCTCCTCAGCTGTGACGTGGCCAGATCCACAGGCTTGTTTGTTGTCATTGATGTACTGATTAACTACAGACTTGAGTACTGAGCTGGCGCTAGGTACATCGACTCTTGACGGCCTGTCATTTTCCTCCGATGATGATAATACAACAGATGAAGACACTGAACGTGGGCTGTTCTTATTGAAATGTGTTTTCATGTGTCTCTTGAGTTTACTGGCTTGTGAGCATGCATGGTCACAAAGTTGGCACTTATAAGGTTTCTCCCCAGTGTGAGAACGTCTGTGGACAATCAAGTTGCTCTGAAACTTGAAGACTTTGCCACAAAACTCACATGATTTAGATTTGTTAGAAGTAGGTGCTGACTTCATCGGAGCAAAGTTGAACAGCCTATGATGCATGCCTGGTTTTCTTTTAGAAGGGGACAAAGGTGGGCTTGTTGGGCTATTGGTGCCAGCCAATTGTCGCAGCCTTTGAGAATAGAAATCCAGTGAAGGTTCACCCCCAGTATTTGCATTATGTGATGACGTTGTTGTTGTTGTTGGAGGTGGTGGAGGAGGAGGAGGAGGTGGTGGAGG